GTTCCGACGATGTCCGGCACAATCAAACAATCACCGACAGGACTCCTCTTTCGGCTTCCGGCGAGTCGAAAGTATGAATCTCTTGCACGCACAGTTTCAAGTTAAATCAAGATATACGCCAGCCTCAATTTGCAAAAGCTTTTCTTCAGAATTTGGGTTCGAGCCATGCCACATTTTGCAGCCGGTCCCCATTTCTCCGACCAACTCCATCACCACAAAGCCTCCGACAGCTCAGCACGGCTTCTTCGAACTGGCAAGATTTATCCAAAATTGTCCACCCAAAGTCAGTCAATCCTCCTTCGGGACCGGAATAAACCAATTCCAATTAATAATCATTTTTTCCTCTCAGCTCATGCATTATGGAACAAGCCCCAAATGAGAACATACCAATTTTTTTGAAGTCGGTTCACCTCGTTGTCGCAACTTGGTCTTGTTGTCATGGCGACTTTGTCCGAAGTTGTCGTTATTCCCATCATCTGACAGTGGACTTGATACATTCTTAAACATCCCCTGTCAAATGTTGGGAATCATGACAACTACTATGGCAGACGACTTCGGACATAGTCGCCATGACAACAAGACGAAGTTGCGACAACGAGGGAAAAGGAGACTGCGATCATACCAGAGGCCACAACATCTTGTTTTGCCCACGATGTGATAAAAAATTGGTTTTTCAAGGAGTATGAGTTTTGTTTTTCACACAATTTGATGCTTCGAGCCGACGTGTCCGGTGAGCTTCACGTAGCTCACGTGCTTCACTAAAAAGTGGGCGACAGTCTCGATCTCGCAACACTTTTTATAAGCACTCGCAGCGGGACTCGAACCACAGGAATGGAGTGCACAATCTCGACACGGTAACCACATTGCCACCAGTGCTGCTGATTCGCAGGCCGGGTGGGAATTTCAAGGAAGGCAGGACATTTTGCCGAATCATACAGCGAAACTGCAGTCCTTTGGGAAAGCAAGGCTGTGTGAAATTGCATGGAATGGCAGATTGCAACTGTCTGTCTTTCATCATCTCAAACGAAATTGGGAAAATATAATTCATAAATGGTAGTCTTGCAAGCCTACTCAAAGCGAAATATATCAAAGGTTTGTAAGGAATCGTCATCAAAAGCTGACTTTTAATGGAAGATATGTGATACATTTTTCACACACACACACACACACTCTTTATGTAATCCTCAAACCCACTTGCTCCACAGCCAGTGACGGATTGAAAG